ATAAATAAATAAATGAGAAAGAAAGGACAGCTCTTCCTTACAAATGAATTCTAATTAATACAAAGGAATGAGAGAAATTCAGAGTCACTATTAAGCAAACACCACGATAGTGAATGTTGCAGGTAAAATCCGTGAGCTAACTCAACCAGTGGGCAAAAACTTGAAAAGCAATAGTATATTTGCATAGTCTCGAAGTACCCATCCACCCAATATATTTATTAATTACAAAGGAAAAAACAGTAACTTTACAGGGCAAAAATCCAAAAGACATCATGTTAACCAAGTGATCAACGTTAACATCACCAGCAAAAAGATATGTGGACACCATGTACTCCTGATATGATTCACTGAAGAGACAATATCATTTTGTGCTGTTCTTGCAAAAAATGCATAATCTCAATCTATTCAAGAGAAAATATCAGACATACCAAAATTGAGAGATATTTTACAAAATAACTGATGAGTACACTCATCAAAAATGTCAAGGCCATGAGAGAAAAGTAAAGAATGAAGAATTGTCACAGACTGGAAGAAACTAAGGAGACACAACTAAAGTCTATATGGGATACCAGATTGTATGCTGGAATAGAAAAAGGACAGGAGAAGGAGGGATAGTGGTGAAATTCAAACAAGGACTGCAGTTGATATCCTGGTTTTGAAAACTGCACTGTGGTTATACAATTACCATAATTTTAAGTTATACAGGTAAATTAAGATTAAGGGCAGTTGTCTGGAGTGTATACATGATAACTCTAAAATTTTTGCAACTCTTCTGTAAATCTGAAATTATTTCAAAAATTAGAAAAGATACTGAACAGGGTACAAAACTTCTATGAACTTCCTATTAGATAAGGAAAACAGAGAAATAAAATGGTTAAGTGTTCACTGTCTTGTTAGGTGTTCACTGTTAAGGAAGCGAAGCATACAAATTCACAAGAGAGAAATATTTCTTGAGCTCATGACTTCAGTGTAACTCCACAGTATATGAAGGCTAAAAGGAATTTAAATCATTTTTCTTTATGATAGTAAATATGAATATACTTGGCAATTAGCAATTAATATACATAAATATTCAGTCTAATATATATGTATTGGAGAAAAAAAATAGCATAGATGATAGAGGCTCTGTTCATCCCTCTGGCGACCAAATAGAAGTAGTGATGGAAACAAGGAGCAGCAGCAAGAGAAAATCGCCTGGGGTGAACAAGCCATACAACTAGAGAGCAATCCAAGAAAGCACCCTGCAATGGCAGAAGGTAGGACAGGAAGAGGACGCTGGGCTGCCCGGTCCCAAGTGGCTGAATGACATGTGGCAGCAGAAGCCTCTTAAAGGGGCTGCAAATGCATGTTCGTGGTGACGGACCTGCTTGCTCTGAGCACCAGTGCCAATTCCGCTGTGCCCAGGGGGCACTGGGGACTTACAGGGAGATATTGTCGGAGTGAGGACCCAAGTGAGATTCACTCTGTACAGAAGTGCCGGCAGTATCCATTGTTCTCTATTGAGCCCTCCCCCTTCCTTGTGTGCGGACACAGTGCTGCCATAGCCGTGACTTCATCAAACTGGATAACAGAGGTCGTTCGCCCAGAGGATCCCCTGAAACCCCGCCTCCCCCAACTTGCAGCCCCACCCAAGCCACATTCATGTGTATCCTCAGCAAGTCAGGTGCTCCTTGCTGAGACTCACACTGGAGGCATCTGGTCTCTCTGGTGTGGCCTTTTGAGGCAACTATAAGCACAGCATCTGTGGATTGCTTGCTGAATCTTAACAGGTGGCCCAAGAGGGACACAGGCTGGGGCTAAATTTGTCCTGCAGCTGAACCCCTCTTAGGACTGTGCCACCAGACCCCTACCACACAAAGCTGCACTAATAAGACTGGGAGACTTAAGAGCTTTGCTTAGTGCATAGAAACATACATAGAAAGGCAGCCAAGGTGGGAAGACAAAGAAGCAGAAACAATATGAAACAGAACAGAGATCTAGAAATAATGGAGTCAAACAATCTAACAGATGCAAAGTTCAAAACACTAGTTATAAAGATTCTCGATCTACATTTAGGGGAAGTGAAGATGAACTCAGTAAAACTCTAACAAAGAGATTTAAAAAAAAACCATAAAAATGGAAATTATAAAAGAGAACCAGTTGGAAATGAAGAACACATTATTTGAGATGAAGAGTATATTAAAGGGAATGAACAATCTACGGCCATGCTACCCTGAACAAGCCCGATCTTATCTTGGAAGCTAAGTAGGGTCGGGCCTGGTTAGTACTTGGATGTGAGACCACCTAGGAAGACCAAGTGCTGTAGGCGTAAAAAAATAAAAAAATAAGGGATTGTAAGCTGACAAGGTTCTTGCAATCTGTGAGGTCAACCAAGGGTTGCCTCACCTAAAAAAAAAAAAAAGGAATCAACAGAGGGGAGGAA